TGTGGTGTGGTGTGGTGTGATGTTGAGTGGTGTGGTGTGATGTTGAGTGGTGTGGTGTGATGTTGAGTGGTGTGGTGTGATGTGGGGGTGTGGTGTGGTGTGGTGTGGTGTGGTGTGGTGTGTTATGGTTCGGTGTGTTGTACTGTGGTTTGGTACGTAAATAGTAAGCTACAACACACGGCATGGAATGGGATGGTATGATATGATACAATACTGATACTGTCAAGTAAGGAATGGCTTTAACATCCCTTTCCTTTCACTGCGGAAAGGTTATTAAAAAGAAGGGACCACCAGACTTAACATCCATCTCTCCACAGACCAAGCCAAGCACATAGACAGCCTTGAAAACTCAGACAACCAAAGTTTAAAAACGCTTCATCTGGGTTCCTACCCAGGGTCATTTAAACCACACACCAGCATAGCATAAACTGAGCTAATGGTGAGTCCTACAGTGCAATATCTTCTTATTGCAAAACGTATGATTCATAAACACAAACACACACACACGAGCACACACAAGAACACACGCACACACACACACACACACAAGACACACACACACACACAAGAACACACACACACACACACACCAAACACAGTACAAACATCTGATCTCCTTACCTTCATCTCTGTCTCTAGACATCTGGCCAAGGTGGTAAAATTATCCCCTGTCTGGAAACACGTCTCGTTATAAGCAGCAGTCACGTTGGGTGCCATCAGCCACTGGGCACCCATCTGGGAAGCCAAAGAGGACACGGAGGAGACGTGACCGGCCAGGGCGGAGGAAAACACGGTCCGGAGCAGCTCGCTGTCGTTCTTGGCCGCACAGTGCTGGGTGACGGTCAGAAGGAGGGAACAGACAAGGACCAGCATCACAGACATTTGTGTGAACCAATGACTGCTGAGTAGAACCGCCATGGCGCTCCACCAAGCACAGCTCTAGCCAGAGAAATCTTTGAATTGTTTACTTGTGATCCACTTACGAAGACAAAAACGTCTGCACACTTTTACGTCAGACGGGAGTGAAAATTGTCTGAAAATACAAAATAAGACAGATATATGTAAAAATTTTGCTCCAGGTCAATTACTCTCTCTCTGTCTCTCTCTCCATCCCCCCATCCCAGCTCCAACCTTTTTCTGTTATCCTAGAAACATGATCTACCATTTGCCATTAATTATTTGAATTTGACTTTGAGTAAAGAGAAGCATATCAACACAATAACAGTCATATAACGCAGAGAAAAAGCAACACAATTTGACATAAAGAACAGAGGGAAAGGAAACAAGTGGGACCTATCAGAGGTGCCTTCCAATCACCTGCATCATTAATCTCATATTAGTCCGAGGTAAAAAAAACAACACACAACAAAAACAACAACAAACAAACAAAATTTAAAAAAACAATCAAAACCAGACAGAAGAAAAATTCATAATCAAATTATCATATCAAAATATTACGACATGTAAAAAGGAGGAAGAATGGATCCTGGGAAAGAAAACAATTCAGACCATCAAATCCCCAGCTGAACGAACTCTGATATTCATCACACA